GCTTGTAAAAACCTGAGGTCAGAATGACTTCCACACCTGCTGAGTTCTTAAAAAAGAATTGAAAGAGTGCTACAGGGCAATTGGCTGATTCAGCATGGCCTAACAGTTCCTGACCTTACCTTTCTGTAGAAACAAAGAAACTGTTTCATCTCAGTGTAATAGTTGTGTTCACCTAGTCCTGTTATGGTCTAGATCAAAAATTGCATGTAGATTTTTTTCAAAATTGGAATGGGGGAGAAGCGTTGAATTCGTATTTTTTCAGCTCCTTTAAAAATCAATTGCAGCCTTTATTTAAATGTGTGCTACTTTGAATAACTATATAAATAACCTAGGGTTCTAGTTCAGTAACATATACTAAGTATTACCGTTCTGGTTTGCTTTTTTGGTAACAGTAAAGGAGGTACCTATAGTATTGTGTCCGTTATGGTATGTTAAATTCTTAATGTCTAAGAGGAATGCACAGAGGTCTTTTTACCTGATATGAAGCTTCTTGTTTTTATCATTTAGTGGCATGTAGGCTTTATGTAAGATACATTAATCTTTAATATTAGAATTATTTGTAACTGACTTTAGTGAGCATCATTACTGGGGAAAAAGTGATTTTCTGTATTATAATTAACTGTTGGTAATTCATGTGTCATGAACTGGTCTCTCTAATGTTAACTTCAAACTTCATTTATATTTCAGATTATGTAGCTGGCATGACACTTTTCTCAAAAGTGTGTTTTAGCACATGGCTAACAAACCAACTCTGCTAGGAAAAACTGCAATGAAATATGCGAAAAGCTTGTATGTTCTGGAACAGTGATTGATATTAACAGACAGTGGTGCAACGTTTGTGGTCTGATAGAATACATTCCTCAGCTAGCGAGGCTGCATAGCAAAGATTGCTCTTGGGAAAAGTCCCTGAATTCTTTGGCTCTTAGACAACAAAGTCATACCAGTGACACTGCATGTTGGAGGATTTGTAAGGGGGAAGGACTTGAGATCAGTTTTGGTTTTGTTTTTTTAAAATATTGAGTTACATGTTGGGAAACAGACTCTGAATGTGACAGAGCCTTTCTTTTTTCAGTTATCATTGTAGTTCTCTAAATTTAATATTTATTTTAAAAGGGTATTTGTGAACAAGGAGCAAGAGAATAAAAGACAAAGTTTTACAGATGGTAACTTTAAAGTCATAGAAGTTGCTTCTATTCTCCACACAGTTTAGAGTATGCAATAGCATCCATCGTGAAATCCTGATTTTAATTCTCACATGCTGGAGCCATGGCACTTCTGTGTAGAATGACACTACTTGCCAGTGGCTTTCACTGAAGTGGCATCAGTGCACCCGATTCTTCTGGAGGCTGGGGCGTGTGGGCCAGCAGAATCCTCTACATTCACATAGTTCCCTGGTAGACCTTTAATGAATCTTTGTTTGCAGCTCACCTTTTGTATAGTGAAGTATTCTGGCTAATTGCATGCACTAAACCCAAAAGCTAGTATTTGTATAGAATACGTACCTAGAAGAGGTGTGGGGTTTTTTGTTTGGTTGGTTTTCTTTAGCAGTGCTGTCAGTGAGAGGAACATGATGTCCTGAGAGGCAGCCATCTTTGCAGATGGAAATACTGAAGATTAAAATAGGTGAAATGGATGTGTGTTCAGAATTTTTTAATGTCGTAGGTACAAAATCGGCACCTATGTGGTGTCTTACTTTAAGTTTAGCCGTTTTTTTCCGGTGCCAATAAAACATCGGATGTTCCTTTTAATAGTAAAGCAAAACAAGGGAGCAAGTGACAGGTTATTGTAGTACCTGGTGTTCTGTTTGACCATTCAGTACACACGTGCCGTTGTGTAGCTGTCTTTACTCCTCTCCACACTTCAGTTTCTCTGGAATCACCTTCCTTTCAGTGGCATGGGAAGGGGGTTATTGCAAAGAGTTTAGAAGTCCTTTATGTTCCGTATAGAATGCATAGAAGTGTTAATGTAGCTCTGTGTGAAATTAGGTATGAACTGAATGGATTAAGAGGAGGCTTTGTGTTTTACTTAAGCTACCTTGTATTAAAAGCACAAACTATTTCTAGTCTGAATTTCTGCTTTGAATCACTAAAGGTGATAAAGTAGCTCATCCTCATGGTTGGTTGGTGTCTGATGCTTGAGATGTTAATAAGGATGATACTTGTAAGATTTAAAAAAAAACAAGATAATGGTATAGATGTTTTGGTCCTATCCTTTAAAACTTGTTATGGTTTGATGAATCCAGTGAAAATGTGTTAATCCCACATACTAATATAATTGACATTTCTAGGGAGCTTCTGTAGCTTGCTACAGGCATAGGCTCAGTCCTGTTCTTTTTTGTGGAAGAAAAGATAATTCTTTGGTATTCTATTAAATTTCAGTGTGTGGCGGTTTTGTACACTGCTGTCTATTTTTTGTTGCTTTTTGCTTTTAAGATACACCATTTTTGTATTCAATTGGGTTTGTTATTCCCATTAGTTCCTTGATAATTCTTAAGCAATTTCCGTAGTTTTTATTGAAATGGATAGTTTTTATGAAAAGGATAGTTGTCATTTATCATGAAAAAGGGAAGGTAATCCTTCATTTTTAAAAATCAAAGATTAAATGCTTTTTGATTTCCAAACGTGAAATACACTGCAAATTTTCGCTATTGAAAAGGTAGGTGTTAAGTTTATCATAGTCATTGTGGAAAGACATCAGTTTGCACTTTTAAGTCCATTTTATGCAGACTGTAGTATGGCCTTATTCGTAGGTGAGTCAAAGGTTATTGAAACTGAAAGCTTTCTTCAGCAAGTTCATAATAACACGTTTCAGTACAGGAGTACTTCCACTGACATTAATGTTAGGCATATAATTGAATACTGTGCTGAATTAGGGTCTAATGTCATTTGGCATGTGTTGCAGGAGAGGTGTGTCTATTAATGTTACTTAGGAAAAGAAGGAACTTAACGGACCTGGAGCTGTAGTAGAAATTATTACCAACAAGTAAATTTTATTTTAAATGTATTTATTCAACCATTACTTGACAATTGAAAACAAATACTTTTTTCATTTGAAAGTGTATCTGCTTCTCCAGGACTTTGGGGATAACAGAGGGAGGTGGGTCAGAAAGATGAGTGCTCGTATTGCAGTGTCAGTTACTCCCAATTCATCAAAACGCACTCTACAAATAAGCATTTCAGCTGGACCAGATGCGAGTGTTGCTTCTTTGGGTTTTCTATAGGCTGTAGATCTTTAGTGCACAGGATGAATATGTACAACAACATTTTAACATTTTTGGGAGATTCTTAAGTTAATTCTTCATTTAAAATCAGTTTTAAGTAACAGGAAATAGAAAATAAGCTACACTAATCAAATCTTAGTACAAATGCACGAACAAATATCATGTCGCAGGCTGTCCCTTTTACACTTGTTTATATTAGAATGCATAGGAGACGTTTGCTAGGGAAAGTTAAAATTGGAGAGAAGAACCTGGTGCTGTAGGAGTGAGCTGGGTAGTGTTACAAACTTAGGAATGTTGACATAATTTCATACTGTCAGAAGAGCTTTTGGTCCTACTAAAGGAATAGAAAGATAATTTCTGATTGTTTCTCTTGATATTAATTTGCTTTGCTGCAGTAACTGAGACGATAGTTTGTTTTTTATATATGAATAATGCAATTTCAGTGTTTTTTTGAAGTATTAATTTATATGCTTTATATAGGGAGTAATAAACTGAGTAACAAGTAGGTAAGATCTGTTTCCCTAAGAGTTTAACAGGCTAAGTTATGTAGATCTATGCAGTTGTCTTTGATAGAAGTGCTGCAAAGGGTGTATGAAACAATATTGTAATGTCAGTGAAGGTAAAGCAGAAGTATATCTTGGCAGTTTGAATCATGGAGTAATTAGGTTAGAAGGAACCTCTGCGGATCATCTGGTCCAGCCCTCTGAAGCAAAGCTGTTTCGAAGTTAGATGAGGTAGGTCAGGGCTTGTCCAGTTGAGTTCTGAATATCTCAAAGGATGAGGTCCCACAGCCTCTGTGGACACCTTCTGTGGTTGCAGACCTTGGCCACCCTTGTGGTTTGTTGTTTTTTTTTTCCTTTTGTAAAATAGGGATTTCTCTCACTGCACCTCATGTCTGTTGAGTCTTGACCTTGAGGAAAATTGTTTTCCATTGATAAAAAGTAGAGTTAGTTGTTAAGGCTTACAATTCACTTTTCCCAGGGAATTCATTTAATGTCTCAAGTTTTTGATGCTTAGGAAAGGTAGGTAAAGGATGCTATAATAACGTTAAGGTTAGTTTCCTCGTATTGAAAATACAATATAGCATTTAGTGTACCAATGACATTTCTCATTTTTGTAAGAAAAAACATGTTTTGTTTTCTAAGTGAACTTTTGCAAATCCTTGCGGAGTTGTTACTCTGCTGATGTCAGTCCATTTAGGTCTCCCTACTGTTGGTTTGCTGTTGTGTAGGTATGCTGTGGCAGTTGCTGTAGTAATGCATAAATGGTCACTTGAAGCTGTTTTTTTAGAAAGATGAACTATGAGTTGGACAGGCTTGCTTAAGGCTGGGCTTAGTTTTAAAACAACATAGTCGCCATCTGTTTCTTAGATTATTATATAATGAATTCGTACCTTGTTAAAGGTCACTGTATACTTGCTGCACTGGCTTTCTCTGGCTATTTAGATATTCTTCTTTCAAGTAAGTATTTGTTCTGAATGAAGAACATGTTTGGTGACTGTAAAAGGCTGATTCCTGAAGCCTGTTTAATGATTTCTTCAACTCTTATTACCTTAAACGGTAGGGTTTTTCCTCCCCCATGCTGTCTTCAGAATACAGCGAGCCTGAAACGTTGGAATGCTTTGGTTGATTAGCTGACTACTGTGAAACTGTCTGAATAGCTGGCATTCTATTGATTGCATTACATCATTATAAAGATATTGTAAAACCTAACGTGAGTATTCTAAAACTTAACAAACTATGACTAAATAATAGTTGTTTTTTTTTTTTCCCCTCTACAGGCTCATAAGTCAGTGAACTTTGTTTCAACTCTGCTTCAGATCACTATGTCCGAGCAACTGGATTTACCAGTGAGACAGGCAGGCAAGTTTTCAGATCTTTTTTCATTGTATCTACTTTAATAGTCCATACACACAGGCACATATGCAGATACTGTTAAAGAATTCTAATGGTTTTAATCTCAAATACTCAAAAGTTGGGAGTTGCTCGAATTATAGTTGTTATGAACTATGTCTGGCACCATACACTGAATAGGGAAGGCAAAGAAGGTGGCTGGCTCTTCAGTGATTGCTCTCTTTATCTCTAGAGAATAATGGTCTTTGGGAAGATGGTTTATGATGCTAGTACGCTTGGTCCATGGAGGTAATTTAACCTTGCACTAGTAATGCTAGTGTTTCTAAACGTTTTAAGTGGAAGAAAACAAATTCCGTCTTTTGGAACCCTGCTGATTTGCACATGAGCCATCTGTAAAATTGGATACTGAATATTAGCAACTCTATACATCACCTTAAAGCTTCCATGATTACTTGTTAGACGTTTCTAGTATGGTATTTCAGTGATTTTTCTGACAGTTCAGGAAGTGTGATCTTGATCACTTAACTGAATCTTCCACGTAGTAGACTATTCTAAATTGTAGCATAAGCCTAACTTGCATTTTTATCTTACTGCTTGGGGGTACCATTCAGTTACTGCTTAACATGTAGAACATGCAAAAAAAGGGGGAGGTTTGAAAACAACCTGTGAAAATTCACCCTCAGTGTAAGCCAATTAAAACCCAAAGTAGTCTGTAGAGAGTGGAGACAGCTCATACAACGCGTAGCTTACAAACAGTGCATGTTTTGCAAACCAATTAGTGACATGATAAATCCCACTGAGGACAGATTGAAGTCTGCCTCACTTCAGTCTTGTAATAGTACATATCTGCTGGGTGTTTCTTACCTTTGCAGGTCCTTTCAGAAACCCTTTGGCTTCTGAATCTTCAGAAGGTGCATCTGAAATTTGGGAAGAGAAGTTGCTTTACGGATTTTTACATACAATTAGATTACTATTAACTTTGTTACTAGTTTGTCATTTGAGATTTCCTGTTGCATTTTGTAAGTCCTTTTCTTTCCAAGTGCTGTAATCTGTATTCTGCCACATAAGCAGTTTGGATTTGGTTGTCAAATGGTAAATGTAGGCATTTGTGCCAGCAGCCTGATTGCTACAAAGTGCTGTGGCCCATAACCTTGGTATAAAGGAGCTCTGTTTCTCTTTAGCATTCACTCCTGTATCACAAACTTAATTAGATTTTTTTTTTTTACTTACAAGGGATGTTTTAGATAGTCATTAGTATTGATTAGCTTTGTTTTAATGAAAATACTGAGAAAATAATTATAAAGGGTTTTTCAGAATTGTGTTGCTACAATGTTGCACAACTACTTAGCTGTAGCATAGATAAAAGCAATAAGTTTAGTGTTTTTATATGAAAACACATTCTTTACAGAAGTGAAACACAGACATTGCAATAAATGGGTAAAAGAGTATCAACCTAGTAAATTATTAGGTTAATAATTTGCATGGTTTATGTATTTTTATTTGCCTACTCAGAAATGGTCAGTGAATTAGTCATTTCAATCAGTTGTGTTCTAAAATAGATTTGTTTGCAAAATGTGCGTTTGTTTTGTTCTTGGAATGGCTATCACCTGATTTGCCACTTTTGTCTCACAGGGGTTATCTACCTGAAAAATATGATAACCCAGTATTGGCCAGATCGTGAAACTGCACCAGGAGAGATTCCACCTTACTCCATCCCAGAAGAAGATAGACACTGTATTCGTGAGAATATTGTAGAAGCCATTATTCACTCTCCTGAGCTGATTAGGTATGCAGTTTTAACCTGTTTATGAATTGGCTGTGGTTCCTGACTGTTGGGGTTTTTTGGTGGTTTGGTTTTTTTTTTTTCATGACTAAGATCACCTGTGTGCTAAGCATCATTGTCGTACACTGTGTATCCTAGGCATAGAACTAATGTAGATGGAAAAAGAGTTTTCAGCTTGTGCGGCATGTAGAAATTTAAAGTTCCTCAAATGGATAACATTAAGCAGAAAGTACAGAACCTAAACTTTCTAAACAAAACTTGAAATAAGTCTAAGTTTGGGCAATATTAGCTGTTTCAACACCATGACAATATTATTAAATTAATAGTAGTAACTTATTTAATCATTGTGCATTTGATTTCTAGAGTACAGCTTACTACTTGCATTCACCATATTATCAAGCATGATTATCCTAGTCGCTGGACTGCAGTTGTGGAGAAAATTGGATTTTATCTTCAGTCTGACAACAGTGCTTGTTGGCTTGGAATTCTTCTTTGTCTTTATCAACTTGTGAAAAACTATGAGTAAGTTTTGTGGTTTTTTTTTTTTTTTTACCATATAAACCAGCAGAATTAGTATATTCGTGTGTATTTTTTCTATTCTGTATGTATATTGTAACCATGTAGAATTGCTTGTGGGATTGTGCAAAGGTGATAGAAATCTAATTTTAGAAAATACTCTTGAATATTCGCTCTGCAGTTGTTGGCTCATGTATCTTCTCCACTAAGATATTACAGAAAAACTGCCTTTGTTAAAGGTTTGGGATCAGAAAAAAGAGGGTGTTTTAAAGCCTTAATTTGGTAGTTGTTTTTTACAGATTGGTAGCAGTAAGAAAGTCTGCTCAAAATCATGACTTCTTCAGAAAATTATTATTTATTTAAACCAGGTTTAGACTCTTAAACAATTTGTACTCTAGGTATCAGTAACCGTAAACATATAAAAGTTGCAAAGTGTGACGTCTCGAATGTTAGGAAGTTCAGAATTAATTGACTGACTTTGGTATGGTCATTTTGATAGCCTCATCCAACCCATCATAGGAAATCTTTATGGAAACCCACTGTTCTCCTATATGCAAAGCATTGGGCTAGAACACAGGTGATTGTCCTTTGCTCTGTATCTGGTATTATGCTTAGAGCTTTAAAGTTGAGGTTGCCCTTTGAGACGTTATGTGGAGCTTAGATGCTGCTGCTGGCATGTAGGAAGCTTGTTGGAGCTGGGTCAGAAAAAAGTACAATCCTGGAGTCAGGGAATTGTAGTGGAACTGATAGAATCCACAGCTTACTCTTCCAAAGCACTGTCATGCATAACACTTTTGTTTTGGGTGCTTGATTTAAAATGTTGCATTGAAAAATTTCACTGTATAATTACATGAATTTTATGTAAATTAGTGTAAACCAGGTGAATATTAGTTTTTTTCAGAAATAATTTTTTACAGGAATGCTGTAAAGACCTTTGTAATCCCATGTTGGAGTTGTTTCGGTGGTGGAAAATTGCAAGTCCTGCTAGGAAAGGGAAATAAACTAATTTCTCACTTGATTTTCAATTTAAACATCTTTAACCAAATATACAGCAGAGATCTGTGAGGTATAAACCATGAAGTATTCATTGGTGATTAGAGCAATCCTTGTTTAGGGAAGAATTTTGGTATGAGCACAGTCATTGTGTGACTAAAGTAACAGGTGTGTTCGTAATCTTAGTTGATCGAACACTTTAGCTGAGGCCAGCAACTGGTCATACTTGTTTAGCTTTCTGGTGAAGTCAACAAGGGTCTGTTTCATAAATCATGTAGGAATATGCACATTTCATTGCATAACAACATGGGTGCAAGCAGGTCTCTGTAAAATTTGTTAAATTACTTAGGGGGTTTTTTGGAAAATCTGCATAATGTTATGACTTTGATCCAGTTTTTACTGCCTGAGTTGTAGGAATATTTAGCTATTGATTTTTTGTTTTGTTTTGTTTTCTTAATGTGGAAGGTAAATATCTTGGGGCTTTTCAACTTTCCCCCCCCAAATCCAGCCAGCAAGATCAAATGGCTGCTCTTTGCATAGTCATTTTTTTCTGGTCTTTTTCAATTGTGTCTTTTGTGGAAATCAGAAACTTAGTTTTCCTGAGCAACATATAATCCTTACATTTAGGTTTCTATTTCAGAAAATACATGGAAACTATATTATTGAACAGGATTTTGCAGCTCAGTGTTCTGTAGTAGTTTTTACAGAACATGCCATCTGGCAGCAGATTGAGTAGACTTTATCTTATATGTCTGCAAATTGGCACTGTTTAAGAGGCTGAGCATTGGTATTTAATATTAGTGAAAAGTCTACCAAAAAATGTATTAAAAAACCAAACCAAAACCCAATCACCCAACCCAGAAATCTCCCACAGGAGTCCAAGAGTATTATAGTATTAATAGCTTAATCAAAAAATAAAGCTGTACAGTCTTAAAGTGATACTTTACTTTGTCTTATTGTCATCACTGGTATGGACAAGTCTATTCTACTGTGATAACTCTTGAGTCAATAAGGACTTTCTTCTTTGTAAGTTGAAAATTGGGGGGAAGATTTCAAAATGCAGCTTGATTTCCTTTCAGGAATTTCGAAATGTTTTGAGAAAGGAAATGGAGCCTTGTTTTCAGCATAGGCAAACTGGTGGACTGTCACCAGCATGGGAAGGTCTGAGGCACTATTTCAAGGGGGGCTGCAATGGAAGCCTGCTCAGACTCCGCCACATAGCCTTGAAGCCTACATTCTCTACCAAATTGTTAAGATTTGGGCAAATAACATGGTAAGATGTGGAAGACATCAATGGTGACCTGTGAGAGACTTCACAGTTTACTGTCTTCAATGTCAGTGAAGTCATCTAGCTTCAGGAAATATTTTCATAAATTGTGAACTCTGATAAATGTCTTTCTGGAATTTTACTGACTAGCCTAGTATCTGCCATTCTCGGCAACAAATATGTACCTTTTGCTTGCAGTTTTTGCAGTGCTCTGATTGCTTTTCACTATAGTAATGGTGTGGCTGAACGTGATGTAGTATTCAAAGTGAGTAAGTTGGCAGGAGTGCATTACCAGCAGAAAACTAATGTGGATATATAGTGGAATAATGGACGCTCAGCGGTTTTCTAACATGCCCTTTAACTGTAATGTTGTCTGGCTATAGCTTTATTTCAAATTCTGTAACAAGAAATGGCTAGGGGTTTTTTAAAATCATACGTTGTTACGAACTGTAATATAACCTACTTGTGTCTACACTGGGGAAAGGTGGACTTTTAAAATTCAAAAGCTACCTGAAAGATCTACAAAACTAGTTTGTTCTTATCTAAAGGTACAAGAAACCGGAGGAACGGAGTCCTTTGATAGCTGCAATGCAACATTTTCTACCAGTTCTGAAGGACAGTTTCATTCAGCTCTTGAGTGATCCATCTGATCAGTCTGTCCTCATCCAGAAACAGATCTTCAAAATATTTTATGCCCTTGTCCAGGTAAAAAATAAACTTTGTATATACTTGATCAGTAGTTTAATTTAAAGCATTATGCTTTTCCTTAACATAGTAAATGACAGAAATATTAACAGTATTAGAGTACATGGTATGTGGTATGAATCACAGGTTTTTGGTATGCTTGATTGTGCTGTACTTTTACTTTTGTACAGTGCTATTCCTGGTTGGCATTAGATAGAACTTATGCATGCCATCCTCTAAGGTAGAGTGTTTGCTAGAAAACCAATTAGAAAATCAGTTTTCTAATGACAGACTGTAGAGGCCAGCATACATGGATTTACCAGTGTAAATGCAGCAGTTTGGAATGAAACTGTTAATATGCTGTAAATTAGTGTAACATCCATTTAAGTACTGTCTTAGCATTGTGTAAGTCAAATGAATTGGAGTAAAGACCTCTAGCACCTTTGAGGATATAGACTAGGTTGTGTTAAGTTCTTTAGCCTGGTTTTCTGAGTCATTTGCTAATCTTTCATGGTAGCTAAGTGTAGACAAAGGTTTGAAAGAGCTAAAATTCGAACTGTGAAAGTAACATTATATTTAAATTGCTTTATAATAAATTTATTTTGTCCTTTTTTTTTTAAATAAGTACACATTACCTTTGGAGTTGATAAATCAGCAAAATCTGACTGAATGGATAGAAATCCTGAAGACTGTTGTCGATAGGGATGTACCAGCTGTAAGTGGCTTTTGGCTATTTATGTCTTACTTAAGCTTAAATATTTTTAATTCATCAGAATGTTAAAAAGTTTAACTTTTTATTTCTGCACTCTTTTTTCTCAATAGATGCCAAGAAAATAAATTTTTAAGCTAATAGGGTGTTTTAAACAGAGTAGACAAATTTTGAAAATATGCTGCTTGTATGGGAGTTCTGTTGTTTTCAAATTATAGCACAACTTATTTTGGCTTCTTGTTTCAAGAATTTGTTGACCATTTATGCAGCATGTATCATGGGATTTATTTTTAGATATGCTGTGCAAGTGGCAGCTTAAAAGCAAAATATGCTATATAGTTGTTCAAAATACATAATTTGAACTCTTTGTGAATAGTGGTAAATAATATTTTTTTTCCCCCCCTTCTAAAGGAAACCCTTCAAGTTGATGAAGATGACAGACCTGAGTTGCCTTGGTGGAAATGCAAGAAGTGGGCTTTGCATATCTTAGCTAGACTTTTTGAGAGGTATTTTCTCTTCCATTATTATTTAAAAAAACCCAAATATTCAAGTCAATAATATTGCTGCACCCTTGAATGTGCATACTCACTTCTAATTCTAGGTATGGAAGCCCTGGTAATGTTTCGAAGGAGTACAATGAGTTTGCTGAAGTGTTCCTGAAGGCGTTCGCTGTTGGTGTTCAGCAAGTAAGAACACTGAATGGGGGGCGGGTATTAGGATAAGTTTAGAGTTAGTAGTGATTTCTTATTTAATTATTTTCTGAAAAGGCTTTTTTTGGTATTCACAATTGGTTTTTTTTTAAGCACATTGGTATGGAAAGCACTGATGTCTGTGGCTTAAAAGAAAAGAATGATTTAAAAAGCTACTAATTTGCCACGTAGGACAATCCACTGAAAATAGCCTATGCAGCATTGATAATCTGTAAATAGAGTAAATGCTCTCATACAACAAGCCCTCCAATAAGCTTCAGATAAATGCTATCACTTTTTCTGGAAGAGATAGGTAAAATATGCGGTGTAACTGACCTTCTTACCTACCTTTTAACTCTGATGTAGTTGTTCTTTGACTCAAAGTCAGTAAATACTAAGCTTTCTAGCCTTCTGCAAAAGCCTGATGAAGTAGAGGCTCGCTTACAAACAGGTAAGTCTGATGGTCACTTTCCACTCATCTCCCTGTCTGGGGGTTGCCACTTCTGCAGGGTCTGTTATACCCAAAGCATCTTCTGGGCTATAGCAGTTTCTAACCTGAATGTATTAATGTTATGCCAAACTATCCTTGATTTACCTTTATTGGAGTAACTTCATGATTCAGATAGTCCTACCACATGGCAGCAACCTACAGGTTTCCCTGAAGGGACAGAATAGATCGGTGGGGCAAGAATTGTCATCTGCCTCTCTTATAGTGCATGTGCTTGAAGTCAGTAATTTGAACTTTCTGAAGTAGCAAGAAAATTCCCATTAATATTGGGAGATTTTTGGATCTGATTCTCAGCTCCTGGCTGTACTGCTGACTTCTCTCTGTTGTTTTGAAACAAGTTTGTTTATAAAAATATTCAAGTAGTTTTTGTAAAATTTCCTTGTATTGGCTCATAAATCTGTTTATAGTAAGGTGAGTAGGTTGTAAATGTAAACAGACTATGAATTTATGAAAATCTCAGGGAGCAGAATGTTTTATTCAAAGCCTTTATTGTAATAAGGAGAAGAACAGTTCTTAGTTTAGTTTTAGTTTTCTTAGTTTTCATTCCTAATGAAATTACAATGATTTACAGAACTTTAAAAGAGGAGAAGTAGGGAAAGTACCTCCTTAATACATGTTTTTTGAAGGTCATCTGAAGTATTGAAAGGGGAAAGAACATTTGTCACATTGAGTGTTGGGAAATATATCCCAACATACTGCTCAGACAAGTGGTGTCAGCGCCACCTTCTGTGGTGCTTATCTGTCACCTGTAGATGACATCAGACAGGTAATTATTACATGTTCTTTAAGACCTTACTGGTTGCTTTGCACTTCCAACATAAAATGAAGTTTGGGCAAAAGAAGTCTTTGAAAAGATAAATTTAAACAGTTCAACAAAATACTTTGTGGTTTTGATTTACATTTTCTTTGAATCACATTTGATCCTTACTGTTACTGCGTCTAGGAAACACCAAGAATTCAAATCTTTAAAGAAAATTGCTAAAAAGCAAGACTTTAAAATGCTTACAGTTTCTTCTTATACAGTAATGTAACTTGTTTAGAAATACAGATTATTTTTAAGGTGCTGTCCTCTATTTCTGTGCAGAAGATAAATCTTGGATATATGCTCATGAAATTGAATCCTTAAGATACATGTTACGGAATATTTTTGAACAGGGTGTATTTCTTTACAAAAATTGGAAATCTGTGAAATACTGAAGAATACAAATTCTGATAGTACACTTCACTGAGTTCTCTTTACTCTCCAGACTGTACGCACGCTTTTACTAAGGGAGAGGTAGATAAATACACGGTATGGGATTACAGGTTGTTCAAGTATAAACTTGAAACATACTGCTAATATTACTCTCATAATTACTTCTCATTGATTATTCTTTTTATTGACTCTAGATCTTTTTGTCGTGTTGTCCTGGTTTTGTCTGGGATAGAGTTAATTTTTTTTTTTCCCTAGTAGCTGGCATAGTGCTGTGTTTTGGATTTAGTATGAGAATAATGCTGATAGCACACTGATGTTTTAGTTGTTGCTAAGTAGTGCTTACAGTAGTCAAGGACTTTTCAGCTTCTCATGCACTACCAGCGAGAAGCTGGGAGGGGGCACAGCCAGGACAGCTGACCCAAACTGGTCAGAGGGATATTCCATACCCTGTGACATCATGTTCAGTACATAAATTGGGGGGGTGGGGTTGGCGGGGGGAGAACTGCTGCTCGGGAACTGGCTGGGCATTGGTTGGTGGGTGGTGAGCAATCGCATTGTGCATCACTTATTGTGTATGTTCTGTTGCTGCTATTATTTTAATTTTAGTTTTATTAGTTTTTATTATTCTTTTCCCTTCCTTTTCTGTCCTATTAAACTGTCTTTATCTCAACCTGTGAATTTTCCTTTTTTTTCCTTTCCCCCTCTCCCCCCAATTCTCTCCCCTGTCCTATGGGGGAAGGGGGAGAATAAGTGAACAGCTGTGTGCTGTTCAGCTGCCTGCTAAGTTAAACCACAACACATGTGCATGTCACCAATATTCCCCCTGGGCACCCTCCCCCCCAAAAACCCAAAACACCAAACCAAAAAACACCAAACCCAACAGTACATTCAGCATTAGTTATAGCTAAACTTTCTTAAGCTTGGCCAAAACAGGCTGAGCTGCCTAGCTGGAGTACCTTGATTCTTATCCCTTGTGTTAGCAGCTGTTTTGCTCAAGAGATTTCTCATTTTGAAAGATGCGATGAGCCAGAACTAAGCCCTGGTTGAACCCTACTGCCTGGTTGTTCCTTGGCACAGTTGCAGAATTTTTTTTATTTGCCCCTGGAGCCTCCATCCCACATCCTGCTTTTCCTCACTGCAATTCTTAAACCTTTTCTTAATCTTTCTCATTTCTTTACTTACTGCATCTGAATCATGAAACTGCTTAGATTTGTGAAAGGAGAGGACCAAAACACTTGTCCTAAGTAGCGTGGCTGCAAAGACCATTTGTTAGGCCTCAGCTTTGTCTTCATTTCCGAAGACTGTTCCCCATCCCTTCATTGATTATTGATGAATTTAGCCTTTTTTGTGTGCTCTCCTGTTACATTGGAGAATCTCTCTCTCTCTCTGAAACTTCAGATCTTTCTAAAATTCAGATACACAACTGGACCTTCTTGGATAAGCTTTTCCACAGAGAAGATTGTATTACCATATTAAGTTCTAGTTTGCTGAAGACCCAGGATTACTACTTTTGCCTAGAACAAAGAACCCCTAATTGGTATTTTTTTCAATCTTTCCTGAGCTGCCACTATGGTGCGACTTAGGCAATGGAGCCTGTCTCGGATCCATGCATCATAAAAGTTCAGTATATGATCTTAATACAGTGATGGTCATTTCTTTGTTGCTTGTGTTGAAATTTATAACAGAAGCCAGTCTTTAGAATGTCATGTACTTGTGTAAAACCGCAAGAAATCTCAGTCTTCATTAGTTTCCCAATTGCTTCTGGAAAGACTGTATTTAAGGCGTACCATCAAGGAAGTAAAATATGTTGCAGAGCTGTTTAGGTGTTTAATCAATTTTGCTACCAGTTTGTTAGACTTTTTTTAATCATTAACATTTTTCTTAATTGTTCTAACTTCAAGAAGCATGTTAGTCTTACCATGTACTCATGTTTTACTGATTTTGGAAGTTACAAACATCTGTCACTTAAGGTATTGTTTTTGCAGAGAATCATTTTCTCTTTCAGTTAGTTCACAAGAGACTAAAAAGGAATTTTGACATATGTATTACTTGATAATCCTTGAAGGAGCTGCAACTCTGAACATTTGCTCTTTTTTCCTATCCTATCCTAAGTCAGTATCCAATGCCACCAAAGCCTTGTACTCAGGTGAGGGTAACAACCAGTAATTTCTTTCTTAAGTCCAGGAGGCTTTTAAACATGAGCAGTTAAACTTTGAGGACTGATAATGCATCTAGAGCATAAAACTGTTTGTAAAGCTATGAATTTCATGGTGAATGAATGCATCCTCTTTAAACTCAAGTGCAAGGCATCTCCTTTGGGAGAAATGCTTCAGTGCTTATGTAATTAATGTTATTAATGGAATTATTTTTCAAAATAATGAATCTCATTTTCCCAAAATGTTTTCTTGGTGATATTACAGATTGATAGATATCTTTTCAGTTCCTTCAGTTTTGCTTTTTTTTTTTTTTTTTAAATATTGTTGTTTTATGTGAAGAATTAAATGAAACCCTGGAAATGGGCTTTGTCATTTCTCTCCAGTTGGTGCTGCTGCTCTTGAAGGTGCAGTGTTGCCACTGACCTGCATTGGGCTACAAGGAAATCCCCTTACATTACCAATACAAAACTCTCCAGTGAGCTGGAATTTAATTACTAGTAATGGTCCTGTGTCCATTTCATGTATTTGTGGAGAGCCATGGACTTTAACAAACATAAATCCCTGTGAATAGTTCTGAATGCCACCTCAGAAGAAGAATTGAGGCCAGAAAGCCAAGGGGAGAGGCTGGGTCATCGTTTTTCATACACATACCTTCTTCATACAGTGTCATTGCTGTAAGCTGCATATAGGCAAGGATCAGTAGACTGCATGAGCATAGAGTATTTTACCAATACAGTGTTTGGGCATGAATTTCTGCCCCCAAAGAGTGGCAAGATGGAACAACAAACCTCAGAGGGAAAGGTCCCCTGGGCTATGTTGGTGATGAATTAGCATGTATGTTTTGTCTTATTAAAGGATTGTATTTTTAAAAGACGTGCAGCACCTGATATGAGCTGCAAATTGCCTTACAAAATTAACACTGACATTTAGTAGAAGGATTAGTCAGTACCCATTTTAGTCTAATGAATAAACAGGCTTTTTTGTTGGATTTGGAGGGGTTCTTATGTAGGATTGTGAGGGAGGGTAGAATTCTTCTGGTTAAAATGGTCTGTGCTCAGTATAAGCTATTGATGAGATCTGATTTTTCTAGGTGTTGCTGAAGGTGTTGTATCAATACAAGGAAAAGCAGTACATGGCTCCTAGAGTTCTGCAGCAGACACTGAATTACATCAATCAAGGAGTGTCACATGCAGTCACCTGGAAGAATTTGAAACCTCATATTCAAGTAAACCATTTTGGGGGTTTAATACTTAGATGACTCAGTAGTACATTAGTCAGTCTGTTGTACAGTACTTGCTAGAATTCAACTTTTAGGGACCTCTGTTATAAATTGCTGGTGGAAAGAGTTTAAGGCTGTTTGAAGGTTATCTTGATACAAGAGCAAAGCTAGCTAATTGCTTTTTTTGCTGCCAGTCCTATGTGCTTTAATATATTAAGGATTACAGTGTAACACAGCAACACAACAAATTTGGAGATGGTGTTAATTACTGAAATTATGGTGTTTAATCACCTCCACATACTGTTATCCAAAGCAAATCTAACAGCTTGCACTGTACTGTAGCTCTACCTTAAGTTAAAAGATTTCTTTTTTGTAAGGTTGCACATAAAATCCACTATTTCAAATAGTTTTAGAATGTTACCGTTTTATATGAGAAGTGATGGGATGGACAAAATCTGTGAAAAACTGGACAGAATATAGAGATTGATTTAATAGTGCTAGCCTGTTTTCAACTTTTTTTTTATTGCAGGGAATTATCCAAGATGTTATTTTTCCATTGATGTGCTATACAGATGCTGATGAAGAGCTTTGGCAAGAAGATCCGTATGAATATATTCGCATGAAATTTGGTGAGAATTTGAAATCTACTCATGTTAAAATATAACTTCACACAAAGATGTGATTTTTATAGTTTTTGTGAAAATAGAGATGGCCTTAATATTTAAAAGAAGAAAAAAAAAGTGAAAACCAGTTTGTATTATCCAAATAATATAACTTCATATAGTTAACTTTTGGATATACTGGTGGAAATGACGGGTAACATATGACAGTCAACAATGACACAGGTGTTTCTGCAGTTGAAAAAGTAGCTAATTTTGACAGTTACAAAGTTTTTGTTACAAGTCAAACAGTCTGGGTCTTGTTAACAGTAATTACTTAAGTTTAATGTTATTATAAGTTTATGGTTTACAACAGGTAATATTTCAGGCCCTGGAGTTTTTACAATCTTAAAGAATTTTACACGTGGCACAGTTCAGAACAGATTTACTGTAATGGTAAATGAAACATTATGAAGTAAGCCTAGCATTCCAGACTTGCCTATTTTCACCTCCTGTGGCTTGCTGTTTTGTTGTTGGGGTTTACTGTAAGTCTATGCAGTCCTTTCGGGATGGGGAAGAAAGAAGATACTTCAGACTTCCTGAACAAATTATTCCCCCCACTAGGACTTTTATGTGGCTAGAACAAGGAATCTTGATGGGTTTGGGAGTTTCTTGTCCCTCAGGTCAGAGGAAGACCTGTAAACAGTACAGGTATTATACAAGGCTGTGATAATCCTCTTCTGCTGAGAAATAATAAACTGAGCATTTTTAGCTCAATCAATTATGTGTGCTTGCCTGTACAGCAAATAACATGTATGTCAAAAATTGACCACTGTGTCTGCTTCTACTGGTACAAAAGATTTATCTTAAAAATAAGGAAGACGTACGATTTCAAATTAGACATGTAGAGCCAGTGATTATGAAAAAGGTAAAATACATGTATTGGGAATCTCCAACTATGTGTTACTGTTGTTTCATCTTGGAATATCTGTAGTAAGAAAGCATGATTAACCACCTGAAAAAAAAGGAAAATTGTTGCTCTTTTATTTCATATTAAATCACTGGATTACATTAGGATCATTAACTGTAGTAAAGGACCAAAATCTAGCTGTTATATGTTTACTTAATAGATGTATTTGAAGACTTCATTTCTCCAACAACTGCTGCTCAGACATTATTGTTTACATCATGTAGTAAAAGGAAAGAGGTAAGCTATTCAAGCATTTTACTTAAATAAAATGTGAGCTAGATTTAGTGTTTACTGAAACTACTAATAGAAGTTTTACTTTTCTGGTCTGTCATATCATAGTACACTAAAATTTGTCATTTCTCTCAAATTTATTTTGCCCTGTTCTATTTGTGATTTTTGTATTTGCCAATTCCCCTAGGACCTATCTATCAAGAATGTTGTGTGTTTATGATAAAGACATAAAACATTATCCAAATTCCAGACTTGGAGCAGATTATTAGAGAGTTAAGCATCTCGGAGCACTGAGAATGGTACCTGAGACGATTGATTGAAACACTTTGACTAACCTTACATGTAATATAGGTCTTGCAGAAGACAATGGGCTTTTGTTATCAGATCCTCACGGAGCCAAATGCTGACCCGCGTAAGAAAGATGGTGCTTTACATATGATCGGTTCTTTGGCTGAAATTCTCCTAAAAGTAAGCAGAACAATTCTGGTGGTTCTTTCGGTTCTTCCCCCCCCCCCCCCCCCCTTTCCTTTCTTTAACTTATAGTGTCTTAGAAGAAATGAGACTAGCTCTTTGAGTTTACATGTTTTTGAGCCACTGCCAGGTTTTTTTAAAGCTGTTGAACTTAGTTGTTTTGGTTTTGTTGTCAGCTTAATTACAGAAGTTTTATTAGATCATGTTCAAGCTCAGATTATTGTTTTAAGTTCCCTGCTTCTAGTAAGAATTGCTACACCATTTCTTGCACTACACTTAACTACATTCCCTTTTTTTGTGGAAGGAAGGGAAAAAAACATCCATCCAGTGAGAGACTGTTGATTTAATGAGACCTTTTCTGTGTATAGAAGAGAAGAAAAAAAGTGAAATTAGCAATCTTGCTCAATTAGAAGGGTAGCAAAAAAGATGCAGGGCATGGACTTGTATTTGGACCATGGCTCTGAAGTTTCCCTGACCACTTTTGCTTTTGATACCAGAGTACTCTACTGCCAAGCAAAAGGTGTCTCTAGGAGTCAAAAAATGACAGGAAAAAAGTGTCACTATTTTGACTGAAAATTATAAAAGTCCATGTAGGATCCACATTTAATTACTAATACAGGATTTCATTGTTGCTTAATGGACTTAAATAAAGGGGGAAGTTAAAAGCCTGAGGGTTTTGTATGCTGTTCACACTTTCATATGTGACTTTTTTAATGGATTAGAAATGCATTTTTATATAAAGTTTTAAACTGATGTGTTTCTATTCATATTCTGACAGAAAAAGATATATAAAGATCAGATGGAATATATGTTGCAGAATCATGTGTTCCCTCTCTTCAGCAGTGAGCTGGGTTACATGAGAGCACGGGTAAGAAGCTGTAAGATTTACTGTTAAGATACACTGTCTCTTCCAGCTGAAGAGTTTAGGAATATTCTTTAAATTTTTCTCTCTAACAGATGCCCTCCATTCTGCACCTTTTCTGTAAGAAATTGTATGCTTATTTCAGAGATTAGTATCAGTCTTTACGTGTGATTATAGATAGCTGCTGTGTAGTTTTAAAATGGCTGCAGAATTGTGTGCATAGTCTTCCATCTGTGTCTGGTGGTATAGTCTATTTGTGTTTTGCATTTAGACTGTACTGCTCACACAAAACCTGTGGCCAAAGATGAACTTGAGATCATAGTACTGGTCTAGTGATGTCTGAAAGACAAGCCTCCCACTGACCAGCCTCCACACTCTCAAACATCTTCAGCTGTTACGAAGTTTTACAGTATCTTTATTCAACAGTAATTGTACTTCAGATTCAATAATTTGTGTAGATAATGAGTATACGAGTAGTCGATAATCCTGTTTGTAGGTTTTGTAACTCTGAATTTGTTCAATGTCTTTTTTTCAGGCTTGTTGGGTTCTTCATTATTTTTGTGAAGTCAAATTTAAGAGCGACCAGAATCTCCAGACAGCCTTAGAACTTACAAGACGGTGTCTGATAGATGATAGGGAAATGCCTGTGAAAGTGGAAGCTGCAATAGCACTTCAAGTTCTGATCAGTAATCAAGAGAAAGGTAGCCCTCTTTTCTTAAAGCTACAGCAAACTTTAATGGAATAGTCATTAATATTGCATTGTTCAGGGAGACTTGTTCTCTTCTTTCCTGGTGTTAATTTACTTCTTGCAATTATAATTTGTAATCAGTTAGAATTTCAGCAATTTTCCAGCTGGAAAATTTAAAATTTTTTATAAATAGCATTATTGTAATTTCATGGTACAATAAACCCAGTTTTACAGCACCTAATCATTGAATCAGAAATACAGTGGCAATATAAGCATATCTGGCTCGGCAAACATTCATTCATGTCAAAATTTATTTTTTTTTTAAAACAATGTCTTTATCCTGGCAGGCTTTACATTGCTTAGTATTTCTGAAGCTGGCATAAAAGCCACAAAGCAAACATAAATTCTATATCAAATACTTTGGCTAATTTGACAAAAATGCATGTGTACCCATTCCTGTTGAATTAAAATGTGCATTGATGAGTAATCTTGCATTCCATAAAGACTGTAGAACTCTGGTTTTCATACTTCAGTTGTGATCCTCTTGGTATACAGTTTTATTAAAAAAATTGTTCTGAATGTTGGTATTGCTATAATGATTTATACTACCCATGGTTTTGGCATGTTAATGCAGAAGCACTAGATATTAATAAAGCATATATTGACTTTCTTATACTGCAGTTTTGTAAGAATGTCAATTCAAATATTTCCACTTGTTTTACAGCTAAAGAATATATTACACCATTCATTAGACCTGTAATGCAAGCTTTACTTCATATTATAAGAGAGACTGAAAATGATGATCTTACTAATGTGATTCAGAAGATGATCTGTGAATATAGTGAAGAAGTTACCCCAATTGCAGTAGAAATGACACAGCATTTGGTAAGACTTTCTGGTGACATAGGAAGATGTTTAATGTGTGAAGGATTGGTATGTAAAATTAAGATAGTTGTCCATCAAACAATAGCTGTACTTACTCCAGTCTGCTTAAGTGCATTGATACAAGTAATTTTCTTCTACATTTAGACTGTTTTTTCTCAAAAGTGGCTTCATAACTTGAACTAAATGCAAATTTCTAAGAACGATTGGAGAAGTGTTTGAGAAATCTTTGTACATATTTTCTCCTGATAGTGTTAATAAAATGTACTACCAAAATTCATTAGGTAGTCTCTACAATTACTTAGTTTTTAGTCTCTACATGACTTAGGTTTTCTGTTTTAGAATGGGAAATTAAAGAGCAGATTTTTAATTTAAAAAAAAAAACTGTGTGTAATGTTGTAGTATGTAATACGAAAATCAAATTGAATCTGCAGGAGAAATTCAGAGCTTGAATGGCGGTATCTAGCAAGTTACACTAATGGTTTCAAAAGCAGATGTCAGCTCAGTGCTTCCCTAATAAAGGCCCTTGCCTTGGAGTTAAAACTAAATTGCTTGCATGTCCTCTGTGGGAATGTCTGCAAAGTGGTCCAGTCTACTTCAGCTACCAATTAAACCTTATGTCAGAAAAACTTACTTGTAGAAAATGTATTCCTTTTCATGGAAAGTAATGTCATTTATTTCTTTTTATTCATGAATGGATAAAGCATGACAGGTCAAATGGTTTAACATTCAAATTTTATCAATCCTGAAAACACTCTGGAATGGAGCAGTGGCCTTCATACACGTTGATACACGTTTTCTTAGCAGAAGTCCTCCTTAAAATGTGTAGAATACCAGACTTGCACAGTTGTTCTTCATCTCCAAGCATGTACTCATTAAATTACATGTTTATGGGTTGTTTTGCTATTCCATGCAGGCAATGACATTTAACCAGGTCATCCAGACTGGACCAGATGAAGAGGGCAGTGATGACAAAGCAGTGACAGCAATGGGAATCTTGAATACTATTGATACACTTCTCAGTGTAGTTGAAGATCACAAAGAAGTAAGTAAAAATCACTTTAAAGCTAATATGTATTGTTTAAGACACTGAAAGTCTTTTGTAGTTCCAGTGTACCTGACATTGGTATCTGAAAAACTGTCCTCTCAGCCAAAAATATCTTAAAACAGAAAACAGTGAAGTCCTATTCAACAAAGTTGTAACAGAGTGGGTCACATTTCTAACACAATACGAGTAGTAATAGAGCATAGATGTTGCTACAGTATTTCCCATAAGAATCCAGGTTCTTGTTCAGATAGGTGGAAGTAACTTGTCTCTAACAGATGGAACTCTGTCAGCTCAGCTGGAAAAAACCATCTGATTTGATGAGGTCTGCCCTTCAAGGAAAACAGATAAAAACTTTAGTTAGCTTTGAACATCAACTCTGCTGACTTAGTTTGCTCTCTGCAACAGAATCAATGTCTGTAAATACAGCTGTTGTGGCTATGCTAAATGATAGGGGTTTTTACCTGCCTAATCTGCACTGTAGAATTCCCCAGTGTGATGAAAACTTTTGTTACTTCGTTTTGTTGTACTGAATGGACTAACTTCTGTCCAGAGTTCAAAAGATGCTATTACTGATTAAAATCCTTCTTGACAAAGTCAGCTACTGTTTTTTGATACATTATAGTTTTTATTTGACTAAACAGTTCAGTTAAAAAATTGTACTCTCAGGGCTCTGAAGACTTTACTAAGGAAGCAGCATAATACAAATTCTGAATGCCCAAAGGCAAGAATCCAGTGCTGCCATGCAATAAACCAAGGACCAGTTCAGCTCATTTACTTGTTGCTAAAGCTGCTCAGCAAGCTTTTCATGTATTTGTTTTTGTCAGCAAATTCTTGCTATCTAAATGTAAAAGTTTGTGTAACAACAGGCTAGTCCTGAGGAACTCAATTGTAAAACGTTGATCAGTGAACATCTATATTTAGAGACATTTCACGCAGGATGACCAGTGTTCCAAGAGATAATGTATTTAGCTGGTTAGTTTCAAATCCTGTTCTGCATAGCTAAGACCAGAAACTCAACCCTTACTTGTCCCTGTGCAAGGTAAGTGTCCTAAACAGGTTAATGACTGTTTTGATAGCTGTTTCATGGACTAATAAATACTAATTGGGAAGAGTGTCTGAATCTGTAGACCAGCATTTGGACTGATTGTGCACATACCATATGAACATCCTAAGCTAGGTTTGGGAGGTAGTTTGGTATTTGCTTGGTTTTGGTTTTGTTTTTTGAAATTTCACTTTTCTGGAACAGCTAATACTTCTTGCAACTTCCATTGCTTACCCTTTTGACATACACATTTACTTACTGTGTTTTAATGTGATTAAACTGTTGCATAGGGTTACTGTCAGGCTTTTCTTTTTAAAGGATACCCTATAATGAGATTTTTCCAATATTCAAAGAATATTCCAAAAACACCTCGTATTAAAAGCTGTCTTACAAATCCTTAGCGAAGAGTGCTGCTCTTATACATTTAGTGCTCTAAAACATGAGAAATGTTGAATTGTTTTTAGAAGAATATATTGTATAAATAGCAACTGCTTTGAGTGATTTTAAAATGTGTTTAATTTCAACTCCAAAGTATTGAAAACAGTCGTAAATCTCCTTTTTTTCAGATTACCCAGCAGCTGGAAGGAATCTGTTTGCAAGTGATTGGAACAGTTTTGCAGCAGCATGTATTAGGTATCTGTACTTTTGTTGGCTTATTTTTTTAAGTGTATGAGATTGGCATTAAATTTACCCAGATTCTGTTTGTTTTAGAGTTCTATGAGGAGATCTTTTCCTTGGCTCATAGTCTGACCTGTCAACAAGTTTCTGCACAAATGTGGCAGCTTCTTCCTCTTGTTTTTGAAGTCTTTTAGCAGGATGGCTTTGATTATTTTACTGGTAAGTAATACAAATAAATCAGAAAGCCAAGTGGTCTCATATATGTGATTTCAACCATACAGTGAATTGCATCTTGATTGAAATACTAGGAGAACACTGAAGTGAGGTTACACTTGAAGTATTTTATTCTGCTGTTGCTGCAACCAGACTTGTTTTGCGAAGGCATCTATGACTAGACACATGCTTATCTTGACAAACATCAAGCAAGAACTGTAATCAACTTATTAATACATAGATTTTTAATAGCTCATCTAATAAAACATGCAAACAATATCTGTGATTGTTCTTCTTTTAATACAGACATGATGCCTCTCTTGCATAATTATGTTACTGTTGATACAGATACACTTCTGTCAGACACAAAATATCTTGAAATGATCTACAGTATGTGCAAGAAGGTGAGTAGATTCCTTTGTGATCTCTGAAGTAATAGACTGTTAAACTGGGTACTTCTTTTCCCCAACAGCAGACTGTGAAACTGAAGAATTCTGACATCTGTTCTTAAAGCATTATGCTATTTAACATCCTCTGTGATTCCACAAATTATTAAGTTATTGCAGAGAAATTTAAAGAGGTTGCATCAAACTTCAGATACATGCTTTTACTAAAAGGGAAACATGAATCACACACAACAAAAGCAGATTAAACAACCCAGGTTTTTGTGCACGTGTGTTTTGTGTAGTACATTTTGTGTGTATGGGAATGCAAAACGTGTATTCATATTGCAAAAGGTAGATGGTTTCTTTTATCTGAGATTTGTATCCTCACTATGGCTAGGATACCACATACCATATGTATGCTAAAGATCTTAAATCTGTTAGCTAAAAGAAGTGGAGTAGGGATGGAAAGTAGAGGGAGAGGGACAGGAATAGGAAGTTATTTTCCCAAGTTCGTGCCAAGTCAGCGAAGAAAGCTGGGAGCAGAATGCAGTTGTTCAGACTCAGTCCAGTCACTTTTGGGCACTGTTTCTGTATTTAACTTAGCTTCTCAGCTCCTGTGTATTATAGGTAGCTGCCAACTGGGCCTTCTTTATCCAATCAATATGTAGAATACAAAGCTTTCCAGAATGTTTGCCCTAAGTGAGGAAATGAATACTTCTTTATAAGATGGTGTTAATATTTTATAATCTCTAATAGTAATCTGTGGGGATTTCAGTTTTCCGCTTCTGGATATCATTTGTTGTGTCTGTGTAAGAACTATGGTGAACTGTCAGCTGCCCTGCCCGTGATATTTCCATAGTAATTCTTCTGAAGATGCTTAAATATTATAGCGAACAACTCTTGCCAGCCTTTATTTGTGTCGTGGTTTAATCTCAGTCGGCAACTAAGCACCACACAGCCACTCAGTCACCTTCCCCCTGCCCAGTGGGATGGGGGAGAGAATTGGAAAAAAAAGAAGTAAAACCTGTGGGTTGACATAAAGGCAGTTTAATAGGACAGCAGAGGAAGAGAAAGTAATAGTATTAAAAAAAACAAAAACAAACAAACAAAAAAAACCAAACAAAACAAGTGATGCACAGTGCAATTGCTCACCTCCTGCTGACTGATGCCCAGCCAGTCCCTGAGCAGTGATCGCTGGCCCCCAGCCAACGCCCCCCAGTTCATATACTGAGCATGATGTCATATGGTATGGAATAGCCCTTTGGGCAGTTTGGGTCAGCTGGCCTGGCTGTGCTCCCTCTCCGCTTCTTGTGCGCCTGGCAGAGCATGGGAAGCTGAAAAGTCCTTGACTAGTATAAACACTACTTAGCAATAACTAAAACATCAGTGTGTTATCAGTGTTATACTAAATCCAAAACACAGCACTATGCCAGCTACTAGGAAGAAAATTAACTCTGTCCCAGCTGAAACCAGGATAATTTGAAAACAAGTTGCAACCAGGTTGATTAGGCTGATTGTAAATACTTGAACATTTTATATATATAAAAAAGAAAATTAGCCTGTTATAACCTCTCAGTGATTAGTGTTTTATTAGCTGAGCACAGTGAATCTTTAACACAGAATTTTTAGGTATTGTGTGGACCCCCACTGCATATCCCAAATTTGTAAATACAATTTTTACAAAACTGAGTACCTGAATGCATAAGAAAAATTTTTTGTTTGTGTATGGAAATAAACCTTTGCAAAATGGCAGCTGATGTTTATACACTTGTTGTTAGCTCTGTGTCCATAGAGTTATTGAATACGTTTACATGTAGATTAGTTGTACCCGTGTTCAGTGATGTTTCAGTCTCTAATTGTTGTAGATTGCTGTAGATTTGGCTGCTTCACTGATGGATGTTTATGCTAGCATTGTAACAGAGTGGGTAAATTTATATCAGCTTTTCAAAGCAAAGCAGCATATAGAAAATACTTCTTGAAGGGGTATCATCAACAGTAATTGTTATTTTTCAGGTCCTTACAGGAGTTGCTGGAGAAGATGCAGAATGTCATGCAGCAAAGCTGTTAGAAGTAATTATTCTTCAGTGTAAAGGGCGTGGCATTGATCAGGTTGGTAACAACTTTGGTTGCTATAACCAGTATTTTTGAAAGATTTCATTCTCAAATATGAATTGATTATGTATTAACACAAGTTCTGTCCCGAGAAGTTTGTGTAGTGTGACTAATAATCCTGTCTACTACTTCAGGTGGAAGTCATAGTACTTCTACTGTTACTCAGTTAACAGCACTGCAGAGATAGCGCACTTAGTCTCCAGAATTTAGGACACTGCAAAACTCAAGTGTTTTCATGAATCTGGAAGAGTACTGTTTCAGGAACGTCTTGGTTCTAAAAGTTGATTAATTATGTTCTAAGTTAATTCTAGTGAATATTTCATGAAAATTATTCAATTTGTCAAGTTAATAGCCTTGAAATAAATAAGAATGAAAACGAAGTTCCTAGAATCCCAATTAATGTCATAGAGGAACCAGGGACTTCATTATGCACATATGGGAGTTGGAATTTGAGAGATGAATTTGTGTGCTTCTGCTGTGTACATGACAAGCACCGTATAATAGCTGATTAAACATTTTGTGCACGCTTTTTAATACTTGTGGATATGGTCCCTGGAAAGTTTAATTTTAAATTTATTTGAAAGAAAATCTTCTATAGCGAATTTGTTTTTCAGGGTGGCATCTCTGAAGAGACTACTCCTTTGAATAGCTGTTTTCTTGGAATGTTAGTAATATCTCTTGACTTTGTTGTGGATACTAAAAAAGACTAAGCTGATTTTTCTGGATTTTCTAGTGTACACATTTCCTCTATTTTTCATTTTTAAAAGACAAGATTATAGAACCAGAAATTACATCTACTGTGCATGTCGTCACAAAATCCATGTGCTTGGAGTAGATTAAATCTTTTCACCTTTTCATTTCATCTTTGTATATGACTTCTGCTGGCAATTAAAAATTATTCCCATTTTATGCCTTCTGTATTTATGCACCAGACTGGTTTTATGCCATTTCTCAACTTTAGTGTGAAATACAGAACTACACAACTTATTTTTGATCACTAAATTTGTAACGGTTCTCACTTTTCAGTGCATACCCTTATTTGTGGAAGCTGCGTTAGAGAGATTGACCAGAGAAGTGAAAACAAGTGAACTGCGAACAATGTGCCTCCAGGTTGCCATAGCTGCTTTGTATTACAATCCTCATTTACTATTAAATACTTTGGAAAATCTTCGTTTTCCCAATAATGTGGAGCCTGTCACTAATCACTTCATAACACAGTGGCTTAATGATGTGGACTGTTTCTTGGGGTAAGTGTTTCTAATTTTGAAGATTATTCTCTGTGATACACCTCTACATTACCTGTTTGTAAATCATAACAAAACTTGCAACTTTTTTTACTCTCTTGTTTCGTAGACTTCATGATAGAAAGATGTGTGTGCTTGGCTTGTGTGCTCTTATTGATCTGGAGCAAATACCACAGGTCTTAAATCAAGTTGCTGGCCAGATCCTGCCAGCTTTTATTCTTTTATTTAATGGATTGAAAAGAGCATATGCCTGTCATGCAGAGCACGAAAATGACAGCGATGATGATGATGAAGCTGAAGAAGATGAGGAAACAGGTATGGAAACTGAAACATCGCTGTTGCTTTGTGTTCTTCATTTTTTCTGATGGACATGCTGAGTTCTTTTGTGGAATTCTTCAGAGTTCCCTAATTCCAAGAATCAAAAGCTGCAGAAGAACACTGGACATCTTTTAATGACTTTCAAGTATGTCTGACTTACTTTCCAGTCCCTCTTAAAAACTAACTTCCTAGGCTGAGTCTCTTCAAAGTCACATGAAGCTAGCTTTTCTGTGTAGATGCTGTCATTGCTGAAAGGAGTTACCACTGGGACATGTTTCCCATTTGAGTGAGGGGTAAGTCAGTGGAAGGAGTTTCCAGGAATCCTTCTAATCTATTGTACGGTTTGGACTGTATATTACAAACTGTCCCATGAGCTGCTGGTGTTTTAGCTATGTATTGAAAATGACAGTTCTTGTGATTTTTTTTTTTTTTTTTCTTTTTTTTTCTTCCCCCTCTTCAATTCCTGGACTAATGTAATCGCAACTTCATCAGCCTTTGTAGACTTTCTTCTTCATACAGTCATTTCACAAACTTTCATGTCTTTTGCCATCTTCTTTATATGAAGTTCAAAATGACCTACAACTTTCTTGTACTCCTTTCTTCCACCTTTCTATGTACTCTGCTTAAGCTTTTCGTTCTTTTTCCCTATTTTAATCTTCCCATCATCAGCCTGGTGTCTTTGTGAGTGATCATTTGGAACAGTTTTCCACACTGAAAGGAATATCTGTTAGTTTTCATCTGTCTACTTAAAGCCCAGTTTCTTTCTGATCTCTGCTATTGAATTCTGGACTCTCCAGAATATTGTCATTATACATCATTCACATAATCACAGAATGGTTGGGCGTGGAAGGGACCTCTGGAAATCATCTAGTCCAACACCCCTGCTAAAGCAGGTTCACCTAGAGCAGGTTGCACAGGATCATGTCCAGGTGGGTTTTGAATATCTCCAGAGAAGGAGACTCTGCAGCCTCTCTGGCCAGCCTGTTCCAGTGCTCTGTCACCCTCAAAGTAAAAAAGTTCGTTTTGTTTCTTTTTTTTCTCATATCCAGATGGAACTTCTGTGTTTCAGTTTGTGCCTGTTGCCCCTTATCCTGTCGCTGGGCACCACTGAAAAGAGTCTGGTCCCATCCTCCTGACACATGCCCTTAAGATGTTTGTAAGCATTGATAAGATCCCCTCTCAGTTTCTTCTTCTCCAGGCTAAACAGACCCAACTCTCTCAGCCTTTCCTCATAAGAGAGATGCTCCAGTCTCCTAATCATCTTCGTAGCACTCTGCTGGACTCTCTCCAGTAGTTCCTTGTCTTTCTTGAACTGAGGAGCCCAGAACTGGACATAGTACTCCAGACATGGCCTCACCAGGGCAGAGTAGAGGGGGAGAATAACCTCCCTCAACCTGCTGGCCACACTTCCTAATGCACCCCAGGATATCATTGACCTTGGCCGCAGGGCACATTGCTGGTTCATGATTAACATGTTGTCCACTGGGACTCCCAGGTCCTTCTCTGCAGAGCTGCTTTCCACCAGGTCAACCCCTAACCTGTACTGGTGCATGGGGTTATTCCTCCCTAGGTGCAGGACCCTACACTTCTCTCTGTTGAACTTCATCAGGTTCCTCTGTGCCCATCTCTCTAGTCTGTCCAGGTCTCGCTGAACAGCAGCACAGCCTTCTGGTGTATCAGCCACTCCTCCCAGTTTTGTATCGTCAGCAAACTGGCTGAGGGTACACTCTGTCCCTTCATCAAGTTTGTTGATGCATAAGCTGAACAAGACTGGACCCAGTACTGACCCCGGGGGAACGCCGCTAGCTACAGGCCTCCAACTAGACTCTGCACCGCTGATCACAACCCTCTGAGCAATGCCATTCAGCCAGTTCTCAGTCCATCTCACTGTCTACTCATCTAGCCCACACTTCCTGAGCCTACCTATGAGGATGTTATGGGAGACAGTGTCAAAAGCCTTGCTGAAGTCAAGGTAGACAACATCTACTGTTCTCCCTCATCTACCCAGCCAGTCATGCCATCATAGAAGGCTATCAGATTGGTCAAGCGTGATTTCCTGTTGGTGAATCAATATTGACTATTCTTGATAACCTTCTTTTCCTCCACATGCTTAGAGATGACATCCAGAATGAGCAGTTCCATCACCTTTCTAGGGATGGAGGTGAGGCTGACTGGCCTGTAGTTCCCTGGGTCATCCTTCTTGCCCTTTTTGAAGATTGGAGTGACATTGGCTTTCCTCCAGTCTTCAGGCACCTCTCCTGTTGTCCATGACCTTTCAAGGATGATGGAAAGTGGCTTAGTAATAACATCTGCCAGTTCCCTCAGCACTCGTGGGTGCATCCAGTTGGGGCCCATGGATTTGTGCATGTCCAGTTTGCCTAAATGACTCTCACCTGATCCTCCTCAACCAAGGGGAAGTCTTCCTTCCTATCATTCATCTTTCTTCCTATCCTTCATACTATTATATTTTGTATTTCTCAAGCATTCTTTTCAACAGCCCTTTTGAATGTGCCTTTAAAAGTGTTTTCATCAAATTATTTCAAACTTTCTTTGGAGCACAAATATTGCTTTGCTTAAAGTTTTATGAAGTGCTGTTCCAGTGCTAGCTGTATATACATTTTTCTATATATGTTTTTGTGACAATAAAATTTTCTTTTCCCACTTACACAGTTGGTGTAACTGAGGGAAGAGTGGGAGGGGAAGACCATGGCACTAGGAGAGGAGTTAAATGAGCTTCCCCCTTTCTAGTCTGCACTATTTTGTTAACAGTTCCATTGCCTGTTTTGCATAATCGGCTCAGCCATCTACCTTGAGTTGTTCTTACTATTCTTGAGACAAACTTTTTTGTGTGTGTCATATTTAACTCAGAGGAGCTGGGGAGTGATGAAGATGACATTGATGAAGATGGTCAAGAATATCTAGAAATTCTAGCAAAACAGGCAGGTGAAGATGGAGATGATGAAGACTGGGAAGAAGATGATGCTGAAGAGACTGCTCTGGAAGGCTATTCCACAATTATTGATGATGAAGACAACCCTATTGATGAATATCAGATATTTAAAACGATTTTTCAGAGTAAGTAACTTTATTTCCTTTCCTGGCCAACAAGTTAAAATATAACTTAATTTTAGTGTATACCATTGTAGACGAGAACCTGTTGAAAGCTTCCAAACAGGCTTTCCAATATGTGCTTTGAACAAGGTCGTTCTTTGGAAAGGGGAAGCTGACATTAAACTTTCAGAGCAGGGGGAGACAATTAAATGAATTCATGGTGGGAGGGAAGAGGTCAGAGGTTTTGTCAGTGTTTTTAAATGTCTTGAATTATGTAACCCTAGCAGAATATTATTCCGATTAAAATGGTAGTGAGTTAGTAAGCTTTGAGTTACAGAACGTTTTAATGAACGCTTTCCTTTTGCTTATGTTTTCTTTCTCTTGCAGCAATTCAGAATCGTAACCCTGTGTGGTACCAAGCTTTGACACAGGGTCTAAATGAAGAACAAAGAAAACAATTGCAGGACATAGCAACTCTGGCAGATCAGAGGCGGGCAGCACATGGTATTTTTCCCCCTTTATACCATTAATTGCTTCTTTCACTGTCTGAATGCTGTTTATGTGCCCAAGAAGCATAATACAGAAAATACCTATAATTCAAGCCTGATAATGTCTTTATCAAAGCAGGGTTGTTTTACGCTCCAGAGATATTTGAAATCTCTTTAAGATTGTCAGGTCACAAAGCCTCAATGCACAAATTGTATGGCATACCACAGGTGTAAGGAATGATAGAAATGTCTTAATGAAGTGGCCAAGTAAATAAAAGCATCTTTGTCATAATTGCTTGGATTTGAAAACAATTCATTTGATTACCTGAATGTGGATGAACTCCAGGTATGGTAACAAACACATTAAATGGCTGACAAATTATTTCCTGATGTGACCTAGTCCAGCTGGGATAGAGAATGATTCTATAGGTGGGAAAATACCAAATCATGGAAGTAGTGTCCATCTGTAAAGCTATATTATTAAGCCTATTAAATATTTGAGATCGTTATTCTTCAATACAGATAATACAGATTTAAAAATACAGCAAGTGGGCAGATCTTCAGGGTTGGGGTTTTTTTGCAAGTTTTCCCAGGTGTTTGAGAGTAAGCTGGTATTTATCACTCAAGTCAAGGCTGAATTTTAAGTGATCAGTCCAATCTCATATCCTGCACCTTACTGAGCAATTACTACAAGATTTTTCAAAATAGAAGTTCAGAAATCTTTCAATAAAAAGATTGGTAGTAAGAATGCACATTTTACAAGTAGTTTTTGTCAGAAAACAGCCTAAATTATCTTACGAAACGTAGAATGGTCCACTTCTAATGGTTATAAAATACAGTTTCACTATGACCTCTGTCAAGCAGTAGAGATCATACTGATGATATTATACACTATTTGTGCATTTTATGAAAAAGAATGTTCTTTTTTTCAGCTGCTTATTCATAGAGCAAGTTAGGTTCAGATTTTGAAGTTTGACTTAAACAATCAGATCTTTACAGGAAATTCTTGTGTACTATCAGAGCATACTGATACTCCATTTAGGCTACCTACCACACATGGGGGCATCCTGTTAGAAGGATTTGGAATATAATTATCTCTCATTAATGTAGCTAAGAAGAATTTCCATCAGCTAAGAGATTTGTCTTCTGTGCACTATGGAGCTGGGAGGGAACAAAGTGATGCTCCCCAGGTCATGTTCTCCTTCATCAGCCATAGCAACATTTTTTTGTCCTGTTTCCAAAGAAACAGAGACAAAATGCAGATGCTCTAGATAATATAAGCTGTCTTGTATTCCCAGAAAGAGAGAGATTGCGACTATTTTGAGGTAGGAGAAAGCTCTTAGACTGGAAATAAGACATCAATAAGTGTTGTTATCTTGAGCTGGAAAAAATACAAACCTTCTTGTGCATTATCTAGATTGTAGTAAAGGTAGATAGAAATACACATTTCTACCTGCTCTTTACCAACTTAATTTTCAGTTGTCCACGTATTAGAGCTTGTAGAAACCAGTCTTACAGTAAACTTCAAAGGACAGAATGTGCAGCTAGTAAAACCAGACAGCTTAACTATCAGTTAGTTACAGTGATGGATATGTGGACCTTAGATGCCTAAAGATCTTTGGTTGAAAATGAAAAGTGATAAACTTGGTAGTTTTCTCTTCGAATTATATTATATGGTCTAGTAACCTAAACTCCAAATTATCTGCTTGGGTATGGGGGTGAAATGTGTCTGTACTAAAAAGTCTGTTTCTGGTGCTTCAGTGGCTATTTCTTCTTATATTGTTGAATTGAGATAGGAACGCTGAAAATTTAGCTAATATCTGTGTGCTGCTTTTTTGTACATGTGCTCTGTTACTGATTTGACTGAAAAGTCTATTAATGTTAATCAGAAAGGACTGGGCGCCTGTTTGCAAGTTCAGAAGTCCAGCATTCATTCAGGTCCTGTTTCTGACGTGAAAATTACATACTCGTGTCCAAAAGTGTGGACTTTTTAAAATATATATTCATTTAAGCACAATTATAACAATATAGAGAAATTAAAATAATAAGTAATCAGTCCATCTGTTGTTTGGGGCCTGGCACATTTCCACTTTGTGGGTGCTGATTACGTTCTTGGGTAACCCCAGGTTAAACCTGTATCTCTGAAGGACTCAAAATGGTCAGTCACAAAATCTTAATCTGTCTTCCCCCCCTACACACGCACTAAAATACCTTCCTTCTGTTTTTTTGTTTTGTTTTAGAATCCAAAATGATTGAAAAGCATGGAGGATACAAATTCAATGCTCCAGTTGTGCCAACTTCATTTAATTTTGGAGGCCCTGCCCCAGGAATGAATTGAATTATCACTTTTCCTGCTACTGTGTGATTGTAGTGAAGAGCTTGTGTTCCTCCCAATAGTGGTTCCAGAACTGGTTCATGTTATCTACAACTCACTCTAAACTAATTGATAAATAGATTGGACAAAAGCCCCAGAAGTGGGACCTGATCATGCAACCTAATACTGGAAAGCAAACCAGAGGTTTTTTTGAAGATAGGAAGAATCTGAATTTAAAGCTTCAAATGACACACTTTGGAAATCGGAAATCAAGAGGGGATGTCATGAAGGCAGCTTTTCTTTTTCTGAGGAAAAAAATAGGGATGGGCTGCAGGACTATTTAAAATGTCTCATTTACAGGACAAGTTAGAAGGCAGACTTAATTTTTACACCTGTGGCGGTATAAGTATTTGCCCAATTTATTTCCCTTTTCTCCCTTCCTATTGGGTGTCTATTCTTTTAATGTAAATAAGGTAATCAAATAGCCTTACTTAATCTTCATCATTTCCATTTATCAAGATTGTTCATATGTAGAATATTGGACACTTAATGTAGCACTACATAACTGATAAATCTGTAAATGAATTAGCACTTTCATATTGAAACAGGCCTGCTAGCCTATGTACAAAAATAGCAAAATGTTTGCTGTTTATAAAAAATAAAAAATAAGGGATGTATTGGGGAAAATAATTTCAAGTTATTAATTTAAAATGAACTAGCAGTTTTGTACCTGGTGACTTTGTGGTGCAGTCACCTCTGGTTGTGACTTGAATTCGGTTATGTATAAAGGGGTTAGTGATATTTCATTGCTGCTAAAAAAAAAAACAAACCCACCCTCCGTGTCCTTTGTTTTTCTTAAAGATCTCACTGTACAAGGTGAAATTTGGATACAAATGTGTACTGTAAGCACTGAGGAAAAAGTTACCTTCTCCAAAGCAGGTAAATAAGATGTGAAGTTCTGCTCTTAAGAGTCGATTGAAGTGTGTGGATGAAACATCTATATATGCAATCTGTTAAAAACACAACAATTTAATTTGGCTAATCTGGGCTATGATCTGTGAATGCAATCTCCCCCCCTAATTTTGCAAAATATTCTTTTTCCAGCACATGGTAGTGCAGGTGCACTACTCTTGCATTTCATTCCCCCTCTTTTTGCACTCCCAGCGTTAGTGTGTGCTGTTGTCTGCCTGATCCAGACAGTGTATTTGAAGTTTTGCCAATCTTTCATTTTTGAAGCCACAATTTTCTTCCTTCAAAGTTGCTATAGTAACTAGTATTTTAGCTAGAGAGGCAAAATACAGTTCCCTCTGGGACCACTATCAAAACCACTGTATGAAGAAGCCAGCAGGGAGATGCTGTGAATGCATTGGCTTAAATGCCCCCTTTTTCTTTTCTAAAAGCAAAAATCCATTGGTTTTTGATCTTGCCTTGAGATCATTGGTGTCAGGTCTTTTAAATCAAATGTTTGTTTTTTTTTTCTTTTGGCTGTTTTTATATAAAAATGTCACCTGCTGTTACAACTGATATTAAACAAGCTACCTTAATTTAATGTAAGCCTCCAAAATTTAAATACAGGTTAAAAATAAACTGAGTTTATATCTGTAAAAATGAAATGCACATATATATATTATGATACTCAAAATGCAGTCTTCAGAAAATTGGTTTGTGTGGTGTGTTTTTTTGCATCAGCAGAGTAGCAGGAATTCGTGGTTTGGGGTTTCCTTGACGAGCTGACCAGCACCATGCTCTGCCTTCCATTTGTTGCACAACCGCTAGCGCTTCTCTGGGCAGGTGTAATGGGTTTTTCCAGTCGCTCCTCTCTGGTCTGCCTTTCTTCAGCAAATACGATTCCCTGCGCGCAGGGTGCTAATGTGAGAGACTGAGCCAGCACTATAATGCCACGTTGCCCTAGCCGAATACCAAAGGGATACTTTAAAAGCAAATTGTGGACTTAAAAGGATGGATATTGCACCTGATGTGAAAAAGCCTAAAAAATTAAGCCTTGAATCAGAGTATCCATTATAGTAGTGGTATGAGAACCACAGTAGTACTTTTGAATCTTTAGCTGACTGGCCAAGTACATATAGCAGAACTGGTTTTTTTGTAAATGTGTAACTCATGAGCACGTACAGGTGTACTCCGGCCTCAAGATAATCTCTAGACAAGGTTTTATTTTTGTAGAAAAAGGTGACAGACGTAATTACAGCATGCCTCTTCCTGTGCATTCCTTGACCTTGAAAAATGCCCAGTTTGACATAAATAATTTCTGAACATCTGCTTGTTGGGTATCTGCTTATCTTGTTATGCATCCCAAAAAATGTAAGAGAACCTTGAGATGCTTTTGCCTCGTGGCAGAAGATCCGACAGAGTAAGAAGGCTCCATATACAAAGCAGATGGAAAAAAGTGAGGGGAAAATCACCAATTTAGTGCCATTGTCATTTCTGGAACAGTTATATTTTTCAAGTCACAAGTCAAGGGAAGAAGTTTATCTTGGTGTGAGGAATACAGTCTTACTTCAAGGGTGCTTTTATGTGTCGCTAGACTGTTTAGCAAGGAGCATCTTTTTTAAGAATGGATCTAGAACTTCGCTTTCCTTTGCTCCAAGAAATGTATTTATATAAATTGCAAAACAATTTTGCATTGTTGGTGGTGGTGATAGTGCATTTTGTGATGCAATATATCAATTTCAGTGATACACTTATGTCAAATTTAAAATTGATCTTCCTCCTAGAACTTGCACTTATCCATTCCGCTTTCAAGGATAATGCAACTCTAAAGGAAGAGCTGGGAAATTTAAAGCCTCTGTTTTTTCTATTATGGAAGATCTCCTTGGATTAATAAACATCTAAAGCAAATCCTCATCTTCACTTATTTCAGTGTGGTGTTTTGAATGTAGCTGTATTCTTACAGTACTTGGGACTCCTGCTCTAGTTACATAGCTCTTAGGTTTGTATTTTCCTCTAAAATATTTCTTCAAGAGGAAATGTTAGGCACAACCACAGTTCTCTTAACTGTATTAAATACAAAAGGCTTATGTCATACACTGTTTTTTAAGATGTTGACATACTGGGTAAATTTAATACCCTTTTTTCCTAAATCACTACCTTAAAAGAACTATTAATAAGTGTCAGTGTAGTACAACAAAGTTCTGTTCAAATCTCTCGTAGCCTAGAATTACTACTGCAAGGTTCAAGACATCTGCAGTGGATTAACTACAGAATACCTGACAATCAACATGCAGATGGCTTTAATTCTGCCTACAAAGTGATACCTGATAAGTTTTATGGGTTAAGCTGTATTTTTCTAAAGGAAATATACTCCTCTTGCGACTGTCAATTCTGAAAGAGTAGAAACATCATGAAGCTACTCAGCACATTTTATCTTTGCACGTTTCTGTCAAGTTGCCTTTCAGTCCTTTTTCATACGTACTTTCTCTTGCTAACCATTTTCACTTCCCGGTGTCAGTTTGTATCCCTGTAACTCCTTTGAGATAGTGCTCAGGAACTGTAAGCACTTTCTACTCAAGCAGTTTGTACTGCAGGCAGTCGCACCCCTCCCTGCTGATGCTCTGTGTGTGTATTCAACACCAACACAGCTGCATCCTTCTCTGGAGTTTCAGCAACAGGACTGATGCTCGCTGATGGCTCCGAGCAGCGCAGCTGAGGGGACGGCTCCTCAGTGGGTGGTGCAGGCTCCCAGGGGGAAGGACGTGGTTCCAAAGTCGGTATTAGTGGTAGACCCAGCGTTGTGTACGTATGGGTTTTGATTTAACAGATGTGGCCAAGTTCAGGTAATGCTGGTCCAAACTTTGTATGTTGGTTAAGACTTTACCAGTTTTCCATGACTTGAGCTACTAATTAAGCTTTTGATATATGATCAGCAATGGATAAACACTGCTGCTGACAACCTATGCAGAAGTGGGCAGTTTATTTTTAAAAATGTAGTTGGGAAGAGCACTATGGTTCTGCATTTCGGCTCAATCCACTATTCAAGTTTTAACCTCAATGCAGTAGTTAAAAAAAAAAAAAAAAAGGCTTATTAAAATTTGAGAAAAGCTTGGAAGGTCTAAGGCTCTCTGTATTATGCTGTTATGGACTACAGAAGCCAGAGCTGAGTCCCTTGAGCTGGGCTTTTTCTCTTCCCTGTGCTCTGTGGGACCTTCCACATACCCAGAACCAGGAAAAGCTTCATTTGTCTGCTGTTGCAGCACTGATTATAAATGACTTTGCAATCAGTATGTAGCTTTTTTAACTTGAATGGTGTATCATTAGTTGGCATATTTCTGCTTTTTATAACCAGATATCCTCACATGTTGATGCTAGAAACAGAAAGCACTTCAGCATGGGAAATACTGAGTTGTAGAATTTGACAGAGATGTTAACAAGTAATCTGTTAACGTACAAGAGTTGGTAAACCCAAAACAGATTTTTACCTTGGGTATTTCACTGTTACTGTACCTCAAATCAAACTGATGGCTGTAATTTGTATTTTGGGTGAAAGTTTCCAATTAAGAAACAGGAAGGAAGGAAACAAGAACGGAAGGAAAAGTGTTCTGTATTAGGCCTATTCAGGAATAAGCTAATTTTGGCTGTTTGTATGACTGCAAGAATTTAGAATTATTATTCTGGAGCTTCAGGCAAAAAATCTCACATACTTTTCTATGTCCTGTTCAGAAAGGTCAAGCCCTATAGAGCTGGGCATTGTCCTGTCAATGGTGATAGCTCATGTTACTTGCACAGTTGGGTTTTCTTGAAAAATCATCTACCAAAATAATGTAATACCCTTTTATTGCCTCTGGAGCTGTTGCTGGGACTATTACATGTTCCCATACCAAAAAATCACATAAGGGTAAATATTTTAAGAGCAGAGTCCTTACACACAAGAGCTAGGTTGAAATGGCACAAGATAACGAGGGTAGGGAAGGGCAGGATGCTCGGTCGCCCCAACCCTGCCCCGAGCAGGCCCTCCGCAAGGGCACCGCGCCCCGACACCCTTCCAGCAGCCGGCCTCCTTCCCTCCGGCTCCCGCACG